ACTGATTACCGTATAGTCTATCATGAAGTCATTTCAGTCGCGATAGGATGCTGGCTTTTCAACGTGCATCATTCTGGTCGCTTACAAAACCTATGTACTGTGAAAAGTGGCTACATAAGTAGATAGCCTTTTTCTCATGGATTTTGACTATCTCCATAAATTAACATAAATTTTATGGAAAACATACACGAAAAAATATTTATTGTAATCGTTTGGTATCAAATTACGCCTTTTTTAAGTGTTATAATTAAAAAAAGGTATCTTTCGGTTTAAAAAAGTTCCTAATTATGAAGTTGTTTACCAGCTAATCCGAGTTTGCGCTCTCTGGCCTTAGTAAAGCTTGTTCATATACGAACATACTCGAATATTTACTATCCTGCAGTACTACCGGCGTTCTTTCCGATGAAATTTTAAGTGGATTGGTGATGTCTCGTGGGGCATGTATGTAGAATTTGTTCATGTCTACCACTTTTCTTATTAGACTCCACATAAATGTACCTTGTGAATATTTTAAACATATTATAGTTGACGGCAAAAATGAGGAAGATAAGCAGTTGGAAATATACCTAATTGGTGAACACATCCAGCTTCCACCTAAAGTTGCCGCTTTAATCCCTTTGTAGCCCTATTCCGCTTTAAGAACATGAGGGAATATTACACCGTTCGAAGTTTACACCTCAAGGACACTTTACCATGCGACATATCGTGAAGGAGTCGTTAAGTTTACAGTTTAGAATCAAAATACGGATGTACTACGGATAAATTCGATCAAAGGCACGTCAGATTGCCTCACAGAACGCCTTTATCGTGTTGCGTGGAGTCCTTATGAATCCGGAGCAAGTACCGTAAGTTTACGGAAGGGCCTTATGCCGCATCAGCTACTGCGCCCAGTACCGTCTGGTTGGCGGAATTGGACAGTGCGTGAGGCAGGAGACAGGGGCGGGGAGGGAATGAGATAGAATGTAGGAAACCCATTCGAGTACGTTTGTATCTGAACAAACTTTGCTGAGGCTAGAGGCCAGGCACACCCTGATTAGCTAGCAGGAACGGCAGGTGTCTGTACATGTATGGCTCTGTGCGAAATATGTGCTTGGACTAGAATTAAGTGTGGTCGTTACTGCTAGCGATCTAGAAAGGCAAACTACTTAGAGGTCGGTGCGGACGCAATGTGCAAACTGCTCTTGTGTGCGACAATTATTTCTATGTTCCCCTAATTGTATGCGGGGAATAGAGGACATATAGGATAGCATAGAATAACTTTACTCCAACAGTGTCTGCGTGAACATTTGCTTCTTCGCGTGTGCCTGAAGATGTTTACGTGTCCGTCAAGTGACTTTCGCGTGCAGTAAGTCCTTTCCGTGTGCAGTCCGTCCCTCCTTCTGTCCGCGGCATCGTATTTAATGACAAGCAGCCTTTATCTGCTTTGCCTCTTCTTATTGGCCCATGCGCGAGCGACTTATCCGAGCGGCCATCATGTGATGCGGGCTCCCTAAGGGTCACACAACCTAGCAGCGCATTGGGCAGTTGTGCCTGCACACCTTCACTTGTGGGTGTTTCTTTGTTATCCTGACTCCAGGACGGCAGGAGTGTTGACTCATGCCCTCTGTCCTCCTATCAATGACCTTTGAATTGTAGAGCAAATTGGATTGAAATTTCAGATGCTAATCCCTGTTGTGACTAGCACGTCCCCCTTCAAACTGCTCTCACTACCTAACTTTAGCCGTTTTTATGATGCGAACAGAAATCTGTAATTTTTTTTCTGCTTAACCTACCAGTTGTAAACCTTAACAGTCCAAATTTACATACCCAAACTTCCTTTTTGGGTTTATATTTTAGACGCAACAAGAAGTTGATATGTGCAAGTGGCAATGGAAGGAATTGAAAAAACTTTCAACCATACTTAGGGTTCGGGGTGTCGCCGCAATACCGCGGAACCTACTAAAGGATCAATGCGAATAACTTGCCAACGGTTTGGATGCTTGCTTTATTGCAGGATCCTGCAAGCGTCAGAGAAGATTATCAAAGATAAATCTAACTGGAGTCCTCATTTAACAGAATTAACCTGTCATTTACAAAAAATTAAATAATTTTTTCTCTCAGAGAAACTTGGAGTTTTCGAAATACATATCTGCAAACTTATTGTCGTTTTATCAACTAACGGATTAAAAATGCACATGTACACACGTTTAGCCCTTGTTTTGGCTGCCAAAAAAGTACAATTTCCGTTTAAAAATATGCAGGCAAGTTCGATATACTAGGGTTTGTTCATTGTGGGAATAATTTTAATTCTTAACGCTTACATAGTTTGAATTGATGACACATTAACTGTCTTATGATAGAACAACATTTTAGATACAGTATTTTCTTATTAACACGTAGATTGACTTGAAATATACTTTGCAAGGAGAAGAGTAATATTACTGACGCCCCACTGACTAATTCCTTTCTTTTTCAGCGGATAAATTAAGCGTAAACATAAAGCTCCAGTATTAGAAATATAGATTTTACTTATGAGATTATAAGAAGTTAAGACGTTCTCTGGGACCAGGAGTCTATTTGTCCGACGTTTCGAAATCTCCCGCGAGCTCATTGTCAACGAATGAAAAAACGTACGGTTCTGCCGGGATTGAGGTTACATTACAAAATCCATTTCGGCTATGCTGACATATGTCAAAGAATCGGTAAATTTAACGTGAGGCAAAATCAGAACTACGAAGGACGTAAAAATCGCATACGATCGTTGGCTTTAGATAGCGCATATAACTAAGCAGACGAAAACATTTGAAGGGGCATGCGACTGATAGATTGAGTTCGATACTTTGAATGGACCCTAAGTAATTGTTGTTCAACTTCGCACTTACACGCCAACCTAAACTTAAAAGGCACTACAACCCATAATGTGAATGCGCTAAAAATCTTAAGAAAACTGCTTCTCCCCACCAGAACGTATAAAATGCATCTTCATCTGATTTAACGATACCGAGCGGTACTTTTTAAGCCTTCAAGTTGCTATTCGCTAGAAGCATTAATCGTCAGATTGGCTGTCAAGGTAACATAAAGTGATATCCTAAAACTACAACCGTTGCCATCAAAACCCATTTAAGTGTTAGGCGTTCCCGCCTACAAACTTTTATACATATTCATGAACTAGGAACACATATCTAGCAACCCAAAAGAGCTGTTTCTCAATGGTCTGGCGAAGGTGCTTTAAGAAAAATGTGTAACTCTTTACGGATAATATACTATAGGAGTTAAGGCCAAGACGGTTAACCCTATCAACTACAATCTTTCAGGCCCGGTTCCTTAGGAGATTAGAGAAGTCTTGGAAAGACCAGATTGTTAGGAATAGTTTATTCTGCAGAAGGATAGGAGAATAGAATAAAAGTAATGTTGACTTTTGTTGGCCTTGGCTGCAAAAGGCCACTACAAATGCTCCCCTCCTAGACCGAAGTTTGTCGATGAAGGAGATCGAACGTAGGAAGATTAGTGAAACATAGGGAAGGAGGAACGTACCAACGGTAGGGTTCGATTAGATGTTGTTTGTGTGGCTGGCTTGGGGGAGCCAGGTTGAAGGGACAGTTGTGGCCTGCATGAGCTTCTGTGGCTGGC